ACTGCGTTTTGTCGGAAAGCTGTGATATAGGAGAACAGGGCTCTGTGCATTTTCAGACGTTGCTTGCTTGAGAGCGCAAGTTACATAAAAAAGAATAAGCATGAAGTCCCAGTCATCCATTCCTATTACATTACTGAATGGTTTACAGTTCATTTGTGAGGTTTTTATTACAAACTAAATGTTAGCCGTTTGAGTGTCATATTTTTTGTTTTCTGCTAAAACTGACCCATTTCTTTTCTATAACTTTATTGAAAATTTCAGACCAAATTAACATAATGTCCTAGTAGCTACAGGTTTCATCGATATTTTGGAAAAAATATGGGTTTTATTTTGTGAATGTTGACAAAAATTGACACTCAAGAGTTACTGTATTTATCACTGTCACTACCTTCAACTGTAAATAGAAATACCATTTTCCTGAGTTTACAAAATCCTTTAATAAATGTTATTGATAATAACAAATCTATCTCTGGTAACCAGAATTTAATACAGCAAGAGAATTAGTTTTATATACTGGCAATTGTCAGTATGAAATTGACCTTATCAGTCACCCAGAACCTTTAATCAATTTTAAATTATACAATTTTAGGCTAGACCCCCTTGAAAATTGCTCAATGGATTTTGCAAGTGTAAATTCATTTTTTTGAGTCAAAATTCAAGAAGCACAGAGGTGCATATTAAGAAACAACTTTTTACTATTTCTAAATTATTTATGTTGATGAAATGAAATTGAATTTCCATATCTTGCAGCATGCAGTGGCATTTTGGGCAAAATGTCAACCCCCACTATCTTGCAAAACAAAAAAAAGAAAACATTGTACGAGTTTCAAAAGTGATTTTGGGAGTCTGGTCGCATATCAATATATGAAATATAAACTAGAGCATATGTTATTTATGCATAGATAAGTAGGTTAAGTAATTTGTTATTAGTGCAAGGTCCATTCATACCCCGGTAATGAGGATATTTCTACCTTTCTGTTGATTTTAATTAGGATTAATTACTGTAAAATCTGTATTACCAGTAGAAGCTGCGGCTTCTATTAAAATGGTACAATACAGCACAGGGGATGCGGCTTCTATTAGAGCATCTACACATATGAGAAATGATGAATTTTTTTTTTCTCAATTGTTCAAAAAGAATGGGTGCGACTTCTATTAGGGATGCAGCTTCTGAAACAGATTTTACAGTAGTCTGACCTGATTCTAACCATGTTCATTGTAATTCTCTGAAAAACTTTGTCTTGATATTTTCTGGAGTTTGTTTTTTTAGTCCATACAGTGTAACCTGTCTAAACTGAAAATTTAAAAAAAAAATAAAATCATTTTACAGAGGTGTTTTAGGAATTTTGATATTAACAAGTCTACTGTATATGTGAAAAAACTAAACCACGAAAAGTGGAGGTGGTTTCTGGTTTTCACTGGAATTTGCTTTGGTGCTGATGACAATTTATTATTTGTATGGGTAGATCCAGATCTAAGATTATGAAAATTTGACCGAAAATGTTTTCGTCTCGCAAACTGTGAGTTAGGTTTCCAACTCAGACTCAACTTTCTTGAGTTTCTGACTGCTTTCTCTACACTGTCTACTAGTGTTACAATCTATATATCTCTGTATTGTGTGTGTGTGTATAATGTATCATGTACTAGTATGTATTCCAGTGTACTGAAAATATGTATCCCCAGAAACTATCACATATTCATGTATATTCATTTCTTATATGAAGTTATCTGTTTTGCAAAGAATAATTATTATTGACTGAAATGTTATTTTTGAGTGATGTTAATTTGATTGCATGTTATTTCTCTGCAGATGTACCTCAGTCAAGTGAGTGTACTCACATTTCACCCATTAGTATAGCGCCCTCACCCTATTCTCATTAGTATAGTGCCCTCTCACTTCTCCTTAGTATAGTACCCTCACACCTCTTTCGTTGGTATAGAGCCCTCACATTTCTTTCATGACTATCTTTGGGGCGGACATCCAGGCATTTTCACCGCCAAAAACTCACCGAAAACGGTACTTTGGGATGGTTGTTGAGAGTCCCCTGAACAGTGTAACAAGATTAGCCCTACGTGTATAACATATATGAATTTGGTTGTTCGGGATTACTTCAAAGTTGAGTTTGTGTTGTTTTCTCGAATTTTCACCGGCTCGACCAGCGTTCCACAGCAGCGCGTCTTAGCAACGTGGAACGTCTTGTGACGTTGCTCCGCCCCTAGGATAGTGTCCTCACACTTCTCCTTATTATAGTGCCCTCACTCTTCTCCTTATTATAGTGCCCTCACACTTCTCGTTATTATAGTGCCCTCACTCTTCTCCTTATTATAGTGCCCTCACTCTTCTCCTTATTATAGTACCCTCACTCTTCTCCTTATTATAGTGACCTCACACTTCTCATTATTATAGTGCCCTCACACTTCTCATTAGTATAGCACCCTCACATTTCTCATTAGAATAGCACCCTCATACTTCTCTCAATAGTATAGTGCCCTCACACATAATACTTGCAATGCACTTTCACCAATTACTGTACTTGTATACAACTAATGTTTACAGTAATTGGCTCGGATGATGGTCAGATCTCATCGAAATCTGACAAGTAAAGGTTTCATTTTGTGTTTCTCTTCAGAGGGCCAACTTGCTTGCACGTTGACAGGAGGGGTGTCATACACCTAGCTAGTCTAGCTACAATATCTCATAAAGCAGTACTAGCTACCAATTTGTTTATAGCCATATCACCTCCTTGTTAGTGTTTTAACCAATTTATCGTTGCCTCTCTGACTTTGCTTCCAAACGGTATTTACTCTAATACAAAAGCGCATCTCCATTATAATTACAAATGTAACCTAAACAGCTTTTTTTCAGTTTTTTTGTAACCACACAAACCTTACAGTATGTAGTTCTGTGTATACATCTGCTCATTAAAAAACACCCATCATTAAAAATGGTGAATATTGCCTGTTTAAATAAACGTTTAAATTTGGAGATTTATTTTTAATCAAAGGACCTTTTCATAATATTTTTTGAAATAATTTCAGGTATATTTACATGTTTTCAATTCTGTATATAATTAATTCATCCTCCTATACATTCGGGGTTGTTGCAATTTATTGTGTATTGGTAGTGGTGTATGTTGTTGCTATAGTAACGATATTAAAGGCAAGTGGTGAAAATTTCTATTTTGTGTTATTTGATATGTGTAAGTTTAGTTCAGAATCTTAAAATCTTTTGGTTTCATCACTGCCTCATTAAAGCATGCAGTGTCAAATCGCGAAAAAGCTCTGGTGGCAAGAATGTTCAAGGTCTACAAGAAAAACTTAATTACTAAATTCATTGTCAATGACGCGTCCCCGTTCCGTTCATATTTGAGTGACATATACATTCAAAGCAGATCATGACCGAAATGCACCTGCATATGTACAACACATTGTACTAAATCTGAACAAAATCCATCCATGCATGACTGAGATCTGGTTCCGGAATTGTGAAAATATGTGATTTTAATGCATTTTCGGTCTTAAAATGGCCATCATTCAGCTATTGTTAAGCGGATCATGAAACAAATGCACATATCTATTTGTGACATGATGCACCATGTGTGTGTGAAGTTTGAACTTGATCAATCCAGACATGTCTTGGATACGGATCCAGAACTGAATTCTTTAAGAAAATGGTCGCCAGTCGGCCATTTCGACTTGATCCGGGAAAAAAAATGACGTGCATCAAGGTCCTATTATGTTTAATGTAAGTACCAAATTTGAACGAAATCCGTCCATGCATAACTGAAATCCGGGTTCGGAAT